GGTCATCCTGGCGTCAGAAGGATGAAACAACTCGCCAGGGAATACGTTTACTGGCCGAGAATCTCTGATGACATCGAACATCTTGTTCGCCAGTGCGATGCATGTGCTCTGACTCAAAAATTGCCGATAAAGGTACTCCTCAATCCGTGGCCTATCCCGAAAAGACCACTAGAACGTATGCACATTGATTATGCTAGTCCTATCGACGGCCAGTACATCCTTATTTTCGTAGACGCATATTCAAAATTTTTCGATTTAGCCATCACGCCCACAATTTCGCGGGCAAGTCGCACTGTGGAGTTGTGCCATGAAGTTTTCTCCAGGTATGGACCGCCAGAAGTTCTAATCAGCGACCATGGCACCCAATTCACTTTAGGACTGTTCGCTGACCTCTGCAAGAACCTACAGATCACTCATTTATTATCACCGGTCAACCATCCCCAATCAAATGGATAAGCTGAGAGAACAGTCGACACAGTAAAGAGAGCCATAGCTAAAGACCCATCTAATTGGAAAAAAAACACTGTACGAATTCTTCCACAGTTACTGCTATACCTTGTGCGTCAGCACCAGGAGGAAAGTCACCTGCAGAGTTATTCTTTGGACGCCAAATCAACTCACCTTTCTCAAAACTATTTCCCAAACTCGAGGAAGAAGAAGACGTCTCACCTGATCTCGTAACAAAATGACTCAAACAAATATGAAAAATCAGTTTACGAAGCACCATGGCTCCCGCCAACGACGTTTATCAGTTGGAGATCGTGTCATAGTGCTCACCCGGAACGATAAACGTGAGCAAGGCAACTTCCTTAAAGTCTTATCCGATGTACGTTGTGTCATACGTCTCGACAATGATAAAGACGTTGAAAGACACATAAACCACATCTGGAGGGGTGGAACTAACACTCCTGCGCAAGGCCTAGCAGAGGACGACACTTGGATGTACACCGACTTCAATTCGGATTTGGACCCTGGACCATGCAGCTATCGCCCCGGCCGTTGTGGAACAACCACCTAGGTCCCAAAATCCCGATAACAGAGTCCACGAAGATGTTGTAGCAAATGCGACCCCAAGACGTTCTACTCGTGATCGGGCCCCACCGAGAAGACTGGTGCTGGACCCAAATATCAAATCGTACTCCGAACAATAATCTTTCCATTTTAGGAGGGAGATGTTGAGGACCACACGCTACACGAGGGTGTCGACAGAGACTGCGCCACGTCCGCAGGGCAGTACGTGCGCGCCACGACAACCGCAGTCAGTCGGTCTCAGACTCTTGTACGATACGTTTTGATATAATAAATATACGTACTAGCACACATCCTTCGTTCATCGTCCATAATCATTTACACACTCTCGTCCTTATACGAGGCACAACACATATATTTAGTGCTATTTTGTTGCTAATTTGTTGTTCTATTCCCAAATTTGTTGCACTACCCCTAACATGAAAAAATACCCCTAATTAATCCCACCTAGCACTACGATAAAAATTCCGTTTTAAAGAAATATCTTGATAGATTATATTATTTTGATTTTGTTGCTTTTTTGGACTCTGATTTTGTTGCTCCACATCTATTATCAAAAAACTACCCCTAGTTACTCATATCTAGTACAACACCTTATAACTCGAATTTCAAGTAAAATTTCGAAGGATTGTATCATTTTGATTTTGTTGCTTCACATTTCTATTAATCTTGATTTTGTTGCTCCACTCCTACTATTAGAAAACAATCCCTAGACATTTTGGAAGATGTACACTTGGACCCGACACATTTGGACACCTTTCATTTGGACATGGTTTATTTGGACACTGCAAGAAGTGCTCGCCGTTCACTTGGACACGAAAACGTGCGGCCTGTGCACTTGGTGATAATTCTTATTCTTATTTCACTAAGAATCTTAAATAATTAAGTTTGTACAGTGTAAGATAATTCCATATATTAAACTACTCCTTCCATTACTTCTCCATAAATTAAATTACTTAATAATTCTAAACTCTCTATTTTCAATTCTTAATTCTCAATTCTCAGTTCTCAATTCTCAATTCTCAATTCTCGATCCTCAATTTTAATTTTTATTATTTTTTTTTTAAATATCAGTATCCATAAGTCAAGCCTGTTTTTTTATCTCCTCTATCCTTTATAAAAAATAAATCTAATTACAACGACAAATAATAATCACCTCTTTCTTCTGGTAAAAATTAAACTATAACTAATTATTATTTTACTGACAATCTTAAATAATTTAACTTGTACATACAGTAAGTGTGATCCCATAAATTAAACTACTCAATAATTCACATTTCTCATTTCTCAATTCTCAATTCTCAGTTCTCAATTCTCAATTCTCAATTTTCAATTTTTAATTCTCAATTCTCAATTCTCAATTATCAATTATTTATCAATTTTCAATTTTTAATTCTTAATTCTCAATTCTCAATTATCAATTATCAATTGTCAAT